AAGAGAAGAGAAGAGAAGAGAAGAGAAGAGAAGAGAAGAGAAGAGAAGAGAAGAGAAACTGCTTTAGGCATGGGAGTCAGGAGGTGGTTGACTCCAACTGAAGGAACTGAAGACCTGTCTGAGTATACAAGGCAACTGGTCTATCTGAGCATGTAATGCAATGAAAAGCTTCAAGACAACTGTGCAGAAAGGAACTGAAGAGTAGAAAGAAGGCAGACAATGGATCCCAAAGAGAGGATGAAGAACTAAATACATGCTAGACTATACACTTTGATATGTGAAATAAAGAATCTGTCTATCTTAAATCCCATAACTTATTGAGTGTCCAAACTAAAGGGCAATTATACACTTCAAACAATGGAACATTGACAGTGGGGACTTGGAACCAGAGCTGGGGCATCTTCAGTGGGTGGGTGCAAAAACATCAAAATGGTGGGTGGGCCAAGAACATCAAAATGGTGGGTGCAACCAGGCAATCAAAGCCCCACTCCTTTTTGATCTGCATTGCCCATGTATATAAAGTAGCAGGGCTTCGATCACTCAGACACACCAACTATTTTGATATCATTGACCCCTTCTCCCACAAGGACACCTCTGACCTGGACACCTAGCAGATTACCTTCACTGTTGTAGACTTGTTCAATCCCTGAGATGAGAATCCCTAAGAAGAGGCCCTGCATGTGTTGAAAAGTGCAGGGAGTTCTTCCTTATGATGCTGTCTTAAAGAAAATCTCATGGTGATTCCTGATCAAAGTGGTGACTTTGCCCTAAATTGTCTTCCTGGTTCCATTTTATCAGAAAGCCTAGTGTTTTCATATGGGAAGACATTAACTTTTTAGATAAAATTGCATTACAGGACATATTGGAACTTGAATTCCCGAAAGTTAACCATGAGCAGTGAGATCCTTGGCCCTACTCCTAATTGATGCAAGATTCATGCCTGTACAGTCTTTCTTAGAAGGACAGGACAACATGGAGAGAAGCATGGATGATGCTAGAAATGTATAAATTATACCTTTATGAAAATGATTAGGGCTGAGCTTCCCAGCAACTACAGCAAGTACAAAAGTTACTAGCTGTGTATGTTCAGAAAAAAGTAGGTGGCATCCAATTCTAAAGGGAATTAAAGTACCTAAAGAAGTGGACATCACTCAGTCACTGGGGTTCAGCAGTATCATTCAGTGTAACAACTGGTGCAGACACAGCTGTGATGAACTTGTTTGCTTCAATACTTCTTGCACTTTCCTAAAGTAATTATTATAATTATGGAAATCACCAGTGTTAACCGTATTGTCTGGGCAGAGTTCTGGTGGCCTTGCAGAAGCCTGGAGGATTTTGGAGAGAAGGAGCAGAAATGTCAATATAAACTAAACAGGACCATGGAGAACTGCAATTAGGGACTACGTATAGCAGGAGTCTGCCATGAACTCATGACAGTTTGTCCTGCTGATATTGTAGTGATGCTTAAGATAGCTCTCCTTGAATACCTTTCAGTGCCTGTTTTCATACTCTTTATTTCCCACTTTAATACATCTCTTAGCAAACCAGGCCAGCTTGTTTAATAAACTGGGCTGATCTAGTAAACAGACATGGGAAAGACTGCATCTTAGGTGAGGCTTGAGCGTTAGAAATGGAGAGGTTTGTAGTGTTGGCAATCCTGCTGCTGCTGCTTCCTAACACGGTGGGCAAAGCAGGTTCCATTCAATGCACCAAAAGTGAACCTCAGCGTGTCCTGCATGAGTGGTACAAGCCAGGTGACATCTTTATTGGTGGAGTTACATCTCACATCATTCTTGTTTTATCTCAGTTAAGTTTTACAGAACTTCCTTCTCAAGAGTGGTTATACGCTCCAATGTAAGAAAACCATTTTCTCCCCTCCTCACAAAATCTATCCTTCTGCATTGATGGCTGGAGGCTTTCCCATTTGTTTGTTTGTTGTTGATTTATATCCTGCATCGTTCTGTACATCTCAAGGTGTTATACATCATACTCAGGACTGCATTGCTTTGGAATCCCAAAGTATCAGAGAAAAATACTTGATATTGCCAGACATTCACTCAATAGCTAAATTAAAATAATACGACATAGGCCAACTATTCTGACTTTGGTCTCTATGCCCCCTTCCTTCTCCTATCAATGCTTTCAAAAAACTCCAGGATCACTACATGGCAAAAAGAATTTTCTCTGCCTAGAGTCGACTAGTGGACATCTAAATTCATGCATCCTAGTTCTTATATGCCTATTCACTCCTAAGCCATCCAGATTTATCTCTGCCAGTTCTTGTCGTTTCCTGAAAGAAGAATTCACACAAGGCAGTTCATCTACTGCAACATTATGGGGTTCAAAAAAAAGGAATGGGTAATCAGCAATCCCTCTAAACATTCATTCCTTTGGGGGAGGACACGTATTTTATTTTTTTCCCCTCTAATAGCAGGCATACCCTAAAAAATTTCTATTGGTCCAAAAGATTCTCCAGAAATCAGATGGTAAAATAGCTTAAAAGAGACATCTAGTCCTAACATATTAAAAGGGAAAAGTAGTTAAGGAATCAGTCTTGGATAGCATCAACAGAAATATATTTTGACTGTATGGTATCTGTGAAAAGGTTTTTTGTTGTTGTTTCTATACCAGGCATCTGAAATGATACTATACAATGCTTTTGTACAGATGCTGTCTTGAAATGTCATCTGGAATACTGCATTCCAATCTGGATGATTTCTGGGCTTAAAGTAATGCTCTAAAACTGGAAAAGAGTAGAAAGGGGCAACCAAAAGAATGGTAACATAGCAACATCTGGATCTGTCCAGCATCTAATCTCTACTGAGGCAGAGGTTCTGTTGTCCTAATTTCTTTCTGGTTGGCATCTTGGAGAATTTTCTGACCCAGGGCTGAATCAGAAATGACTTGGAGAGAGATTCACATGAACCTTCTACAGCTGTCTAGCACATTACTACCATTTTGAAGAAAGCATGAGTAGAAGTGAGGATGGATGACTTATATCTGACATAGTTCTTTGCAAAGTGTGTACCATAAAAATACAATTTGCAAAAGGCTACATTCATGTAAAAAATAAAATGAGTGAAATTAGAACAGCATCAAGATAGTACTGCCTAATGCTGAACAAACATTAAATCTGAGGGGCAAGCAGAAATTATCAGATGAATGAAAGTTCACAGATCCAATTGTTTCAGATCTATGAAAAAAATACCTATGTTCTGTTAATTAACTTCACAATCAGGATCACTAAAAGTTTACGTCAGAAATGTAAAGACATACATTTGCATTGAGATTTAGTTATGCTTGGAATGGGCCCATTGGAATTATGGCAGGACTAATTTCAATTCCATTAATTTAATTTTTTTCAAAACAATTAAGTCTGAATTCAACTCTAAGAGAAGTAAATGAATAAAGTGTATCCTATCAGATTCTTCTTGCATTAAATGTAGTTCCATACATGGGGCTTGGATTGGATGAAGTTAGTTCAACATAATTCCTATTTAAATCCTCAATTGCTCTAGCTCAAGGGTATGCATTATAAATCTGATTTGGCTGCTGCAGGAGCACTTTCTTATTTAATAAGCATAGTGCATGTACACAATGACTTGGGTGGCAGCTATCACCTGTTTTGTTGTTTCCAAAGGGGGTTAGACAAGATCTATTCTTTAGATTCTGCTCACACATGAGCCTCATGCAGCTAAACCATTTAGAGCCTAAATAAACCAGTTCTGTCATAATATTATCTATCTATCTATCTATCTATCTATCTATCTATCTATCTATCTATCTATCTATCTATCATATGCATATGCTTTAGTTGTCTGAATTCAAACATTCAAGCTCTTTCTTTGCAGATTGATCACAAAATTCATCCAGCATATCCTAGCCTTGGCCTTCGCTATTGATGAGATCAATGAAAATCCCAAGATCTTGCCCAATGTTACTCTTGGCTTCCACATCCATGACAGCTACTTTGATTCCAAGGCAACCTACGGTGCCACTTTGGACCTGCTCTTCAGATCACATCAGTTTCTTCCCAACTACAAGTGTGGAAGCCAAGCAAAGTTCATAGGTGTTATTGGTGGACTTAGTGCTGATACTTCCACATGTATGGCAGAAATCTTAGGCCTTTACAAGGTTCCCCAGGTAAGACCTATAGATGGACACCATGATGTTTCCCGTAATCTGACACTTAATTCCTTCTTTTTATTTCCTCCTGATAGCAAGTTGACCATTAAAAATCTGAGGGAGGCATAATTTAAGAAAAAGGATTGGAAATATCAGGAACTTCAACAAGTATACCATGGATCCTGGAATGTGTGTCTTTTTGTGCGGGTTCATTCCTTTTGCAGAAATACTCAGTAACTGAGAAATTCTGCCTTAATTACAACCAGTTAAGACAGAGTATTTTTATAAAAGGATGCATCATTGGTATAGGTCACCAGATAAATTATCTAGAATATATAAAGGCAGTTCAAATTTATGTTGGAGATGTGAACAATAAAAAGGGACATTTTATCATGTTTGGTGGACATGTAAAAAAGCTAGAAACTTCTGGATTCAAATACCCATACTGATTCCGAGGATTTTAAAGATTAATATACAATTGAGATCAGAGGTTTTTCCTTTGAGATTGTGGATGAAGAAATGGAAAAAAAGTTATGGAACTTTGTTTTTCTACATGATAACTGCAGCAAGATTGTTGTATGCACAAAGATGGAAAGATTCAGCGCTACCCACAATAGAGGAATGGTTGGTGAAGGTGACAGAACTTGCTGAAATGGCCAAATCGACTTGTTAGATTAAAGAGAAGACAATATCTACATTTATTGCTGACTGGAAACCCCTTATAGATTTTTTGCATAAAAGAAAAGAAAATGAACTTATCAATTTGAGGATTAGGCAGGATAGATTATGAAAAGAAGAGGCTTATATTGTAACCATAGAGTAAGAGGTAAATTTATAATTGTCCTTATAACTGCTGTAAAGAAGATCGGAAGCTACTTCTTTGTAACTTTTTTCTTGTTTTTTATTTTCTGATGCTTCCCCCCCCCCTTCTTGCACTTCTAGCTTTCTGTTTTATTTATTTCTTTTTCTTTTCTTTTTCTTATTTTATATTAGTTTGTATTCGTTTTTATCTTCCTTTTTAAAAAAATCTTTCATAAAAATTAAAGGTTGATGTCTTCAGTCTTCAACCTTCAGGATAAAGTCTTTGACAATTATAAACTGTAATTTACCACACTGGTCCAGTGTAGGTTGGTAGATAATTGCTCTGCAACCTTCCAGATTAGGACTGTGAGAGGCTGACTGACCCAAGTCACCCATCCACCTTCCATACCTAAGGGAGAACTAGTATCTGAGTCTCCCTGCTCCTAGTCCAGCACCATTGGAAAGAGGATGAGAAATAACAGGAAAAGGAATTCTCAAATTTATGCAGAAATCTATGTAACCTTTATAACTTCTTAAATAGCCGAATATCAGATAGCCCTTTGATCCAAATTCAGCAATGAAGTAAACACTATATAAACATAAAAGATCAGGCCACAAAAAAGAGATTTCTCCATGAAATAACTCATTCACATATGTAGTAGAACAATTGTCTTTGGACTTCATTGTAATCTGATGTTCAATCTTCTGTTCAATTCCAGCTAAACTGTTTCATTATGAAATTGTGGATCAACACAGTGTGTCTTGGATATATGTGTTTATATATAATGCCTGATTCAAGATACTAAATTAGTGGCATCTCTTGAAATGGACTGTGATCCATTCAAGCGCATACCTACATGCATTCATACAATCTGTATCTGTATCTGTATCTGTATCTGTATCTGTATCTGTATCTGTATCTGTATCTGTATCTGTATCTGTATCTGTATCGAAAGATAGATAGATAGATAGATAGATAGATAGATAGATAGATAGATGATGCCACCTGCCATGTTGTTATTTTTCCATTCCATTCCTCTTTGAAACATTTGTCTTTTTTCCATAGCTTTCTTATGGTTCATTTCAACCATCAGTGAATGATGAAACTCAGTTCCCTTCCTTTTATCGCATGGTTCCAAATGAATCCCTTCAACTCTGGGGCATAGTCCAGTTACTTCTGTATTTCACATGGAAATGGGTTGGCCTCGTGAGTATTGATGACAGAAGTGGAGACCATTTCCTGGAGGTTTTGCAGCCGATGCTTTCCAAGGAGGGAATATGTTCAGCCTTCACAAAAAGAATTCCAAAAACTCATCCAATGTGCACCATACATGAAATTCTTGAAAAAATTCCTGATAATATCTCAATTTTCCAAAACAGCAAAGCCAATGCAGTGATTGTATATGGAGAAAGTGTAACCTTGTTGTGGTTGGCAGATCTTTTATGGTGGAATGACAGTGGGATGTTCATACCTGCTTCAGACCGTAACTTCAACAATTCTTCAGGAAAGGTGTGGATTACAACAGCCCAAATGGATTTTGTATTCAATCGTTTTCAAACACATTTCAGTGTACAGATCTTCCATGGCACCCTTTCCTTCTCAATTCACTCAAGGAAACTTTTAGCTTTTGAAGAATTTCTTCAGAAAGTAAAGCCTTCTTTGGAAAATGAAGACAGTTTCGTCAACAATTTTTGGGAAAATGTTTTTGATTGTTCAATTGCAAACTCAACCACAGAACGTCTGTGTACTGGAGAAGAGATGCTGCAGAATCTTCCTACACCTTTCTTTGAGATGAGCACAACCGGCCACAGCTACAGCATCTACAATGCAATCTATGCCATGGCACATGCCTTAGATACGATGTACTCATCCAACCACAGAGCTATGGCAATGCCAATATCTCTAGATATTGAACCCTGGCAGGTAACAATTCCTTCCTAACCTTACTGCTATGAGGTGCAGGGTTTATTATGCCACTTCACAGAAGTGTAAAAATGTCCTTTGTAGGCATTTTATAATTGTCTATTTTTTTTTTTCCCCAAGCTCCATTCATTTCTTCAAAAAATCTCTTTCAACAACAGTGCTGGAGATGAAGTGACTTTGAATGAACATGGAGAAGTTATACATGGATTTGATCTTATCAACTTGATCACTTTTCCAAATGACTCCTACACCAGAGTGAAAGTGGGAAGATTGGATCCTAAAACACTTCTGGAGAAAGAATTAATGGTGACTGAGGAAAGAATCCAGTGGCATGGAGATTTCACTCAGGTAGGAAACAAGATCGCAGTGCTGAAATAACAGCCATCCATTGAACTAGGTGGTAGCAGGTTTCAGATTAACAAAAGAAGAAAAGCAGGTTTCAAAACACTGTAAGAACTAGTGGCCACATGTAATGTAAGAAATACATTACATTACATGTGGACACGAGTGTATTTTAAGGAGTACAGGTAATCCTCGACTTACAAACACAATTGGGAGTGGAACTTCTGTTGCTAAGCAATGCAGTCATCAAGTGAGTCACCCCCAATTTTATGACCTTTTTGCTGCAGCCATTAAGTGAATCATGCAGTCTTTAAGCGAATACAGATTCTCCCATTGACTTTACTTGTCGGAAGCCTCCAGGGAAGGTCACAATGGTGACTAAGTGACTCCGGGACACTGCAACCCCTGTAAATACATGCCAATTGCCAAGTACCTGAATTTTGATCATGTACTGCTGCAACACTTGTAAGTGCGAGGACTGATAAGTCACTTTTTTCAGTGCTGTTGTAACTTCAAACAGTCATTAAATGAATAGTTGTAAGTCAAGGACTGCCTGTAAATTATTAGTCAGTAAGTGTCAGGCCCAGTCCAAGAACAACGATGAGACGGTCCAGTCCAGTCCAGTTCCTTTATTAGCTTACACCCTAAAGACAGAATCTTGCCAGACTAAATCTATGCTAAGGCAACTAGTGGATATACCCCGTGAGACTCTAGGGAGGGGCTAGCCTAAGCCTCTTCTTCCTCTTCTCACGGTCTTGCTGTGGGCTGAGAAAGCTCTTGCCTTGTACTCCCTCCCTCCTGATAGCCTTGATCTTCCATTCCAGTATCCTCCTTGCACATGCCTTCCATTACAGTAAGTGGATTTTTGGGGAGTTAGAGGGATAATAAAGCAAGAAAGTAGAGTGCAAAACCCTGCACATTCTTAGAGCCAAGAACATCCAGTTTTGTGTGAAATCTCTTCATTCCATTATTCTGAACAGTTGAGAGATGAAAATCAAAATGGACATTTTCTCCATCCTAATGTTTTTGGACAGGTACCCCCTACTTCTCTGTGCAATGATCCCTGCCAGCCTGGTTTTCAGAAGATCAAGAAGGAGACTGAGCCATTCTGCTGCTATGATTGTCTTCAGTGTGAAGAAGGAAAGATTTCCAATCTGATGGGTAGGTCTGTCCCATTTTTAAGACTACCAGAAGTGAGAACTAATGAAGTTTTACTTCAGACATTGCTTGACTGCCTCTTCCTCATTGTATTCATTGTGGAAACAGAAGAGTCACTAACTCTTACTTTCAGAATTACTATTTGTCAGTTCAGAATCATCAGCATGAGAAAAAGCATGACGATGAATTAAGGGTAAAAATCTTTGAGAAACATATGATTAAGTAAGCGCTTTTTTAAGGGCCGCTTCCGGGGGAGCGGGGGAATATAAAACTCTGACCATGTGACAGATGGAGGTGACTTTCTTTCCATCACCACCTTCTGACTCTTACATGAAGGCAGAAACCTTCTTCTTTTCTAGTGTCTGATAGAACTAACTACCAAACTATCTCAGGGCTCTCAACTGCAAAAAGATCCATGACTTAGTACTGTGACTCTTCACCTCTTCCTTTTACAGATATGGATGACTGCATCAAATGCCCAGAAGATCACTATCCAAATGATGGAGAAAATGGGTGCATTCCTAAAGTTATACATTTTCTCTCCTATAAAGAACCTTTGGGGATCACGTTGGCTTCCTTTGCTATCACCCTTTCATTGACTACGTCATTTGTGCTAGGAGTTTTTATTAAGCACCAGCATACACCCATCGTCAAAGCCAACAACCAGAGTCTCAGCTACAGTCTGCTTACATCTCTCATTCTCTCCTTCCTTTGTGCATTCTTCTTCTTTGACCGGCCCATAGAGATGACTTGTCTTCTTCGACAAACATCCTTTGGTATCATCTTCTCAGTGGCAATTTCATGTATATTAGCAAAAACCATCACGGTGATCCTGGCTTTCTTGGCCATCCAGCCACATTCCAAAATGAGTAAGTGGGTGGGAAGAAGATTGCCAATTTTTATTGTTCTTTCCTGTTCCCTTGTTCAAGCAGGCATTTTGGCCTTCTGGCTAGGATCCTCACCACCATTCCCAGATGTTGACATGCACACATTAGAGAGAGAGATAGTCCTAGTGTGTAATGAAGGTTCAACTAAAATGTTCTATTGTGTTCTAGGTTATATGGGCTTCCTTTCCATTGTATCTTTCTTTGTGGCCTTTTTAGCCAAAAATTTACCTGACAGTTTCAATGAAGCCAGGTTCATCACCTTTAGCATGTTGGTCTTCTGCAGTGTCTGGCTGTCCTTTGTTCCAACCTACATGAGTACCAAAGGAAAATACATGGTAATTGTGGAGATCTTCTCTATCTTGACCTCCAGCACTGGCTTGCTAAGCTGTATCTTTTTCCCCAAATGCTATGTGATTTTACTGAGACCTGATCTGAATAGAAGGGAGCATCTGATAAAGAAAAAGAAATAAATGGTTTGGTATAAGAGAATTAGAATTTCCTCCCTGTCAGATGAAGACTGAGCATCTTGGGGTGGAACCGCAGAATAAACATTTTCTACTTTCTGTCATTTTGAGTTTCAAAATTTCAAACCCTGGGAAATTTTGAATAGAAATACATGGTGCAGAAATTGAATGCAGAGGAGCATATTTTGGGTACAGTTGTAATAAGTTAAATGAATGCTAAGATATTTATACCAAACTATGTTTTTAGGGTCACTCTCCATTCAGTACAAAAGTGTGCATCAGGAAACATTGCATGCAAAAGCAATAGCAGATCTTCTTATTGTTTTATTATCTGTATTTATTATCCAAATTTCACTTTCTATAACAACCCTCAGGATATGCCTTTTAATATCCCATTTTCCTTCTTGTTACTTTTTATTTGTGAGCCCTTTTGTAAAGAATAAATCTATCTGACCTGTTAAAATGCTGACCTATTTTCTCTTCCATCCTTCAAACAGGAAGTCACTGGTAGAAAGTTGGAAAACTAAGAGCAAAAAAAAAAGGAGATAATCGGCTAAGAGATTCTGTGTACAGTCGTGTGAAAAAGGAAGTACACCCCCTTTGAGTTCTATGGTTTTACATATATGGACATAATAAAAATCATCTGGTACTTAGTAGTTGTCAAAAATAGCTAAATACAACCTCAGATAAACAACAACACATGACATATTACACCATGTCCTCATTTCTTTTACAAAAAG